GCGTTTAACCATTTCGAGGTGGTGGTGTTTTTATATTTTTAATCGAAGCCTCCCGACCCCCGCCAGAGCAGACAAATTTCAATGCCTTATCTGTGATAGCTGCCCGGCGGCGCTGCCTAGGCGCGCCCTGGGGCTGCAGCCGGGCCACCTCCCGAGTGTCAAAGTTTGGGCCGTGTGTCTTGTGGCGGGCAAACGCCCTGAGTTGTTGCTACATAACTTGTTGCAGTGTCACTGGCACTATACGTGGCCTGTCCCGCGAGTACGGAGAGTGATGGGAAGAGGGGGGGCGTTTTGCGTATGCTGAGCTGTGAGGGGAGAGTGCTTTTCAACCCTCCCCTCTGTTTTTTGGAAGTACTCTCTTCTAGTTTCTCACAGGTGTCTCTGATTTATTCAGGAGTGGCTATGAGTCTGCTTCCAAGCACTTCAATCCAGCCGATGTGGAGGTGAACGTGGCTGGAAGATCCTTTCTGGTCACCGGTGCAAACAGTGGCATTGGCAAGGCTACAGCCAAAGAGATAGCGAGGAGAGGTGAGCCGGGCTGTAAGGAGGAGCTCTGAGGGGTCATTACAGAGAAGATGGAAGGAAGCAGGTTTGGCCTTCCAGCGCAAACACAGACATAACTCCCTGGGATGAGGGGTCAGGTGTGTTATTTTACAGGGCTGTTAGTGTGGGTTAGAGGTTTAAGCATGATCAGTGCTGTGAAAAGTGGAATAATGAAACAAAATTAGTGGAGAGGATCTGCAAAGCACTTCTCAAGTGCATGTTTACTGAAACTATCTGTGTTAAGACTGGTGTCTAAGTATGTTGGTGACGGGTCAAGGTCTGTTTCAGGCTGATTTGGTACAAGTAGCAGTCTGTCTGAATTTGAACTGTTTTGAAGAACTTACAAATATATCATATGATGAAAGGAAACAATTGACTTTGCTAAGCTGAGATGGGAGAGTATAAAAGAAGCAATGCAGTTGTGCTTGATCTTAATGATAATAACCTGGAGTTTCTGCCCTGTAACTGATTACATGCAACCATTTTTTTTTTCCTGTTGCTCTCTGTAAGCAAGGAGATGGTATGAACTGGAACTAGCTACTGTTGAAGGATAAACCTAATCCCTTTCAGAGTTGACAAAATAATTCCTGTTGTGCAAGAGTGATAGGAGTTTTGGCATGTAGAATAAAAGGGAGGAGCTTGTGGCTCTTTGCTCTCTCTTTGCCTGCTTAGGTTTCATAACTATCTTATGAAGGAGAGTGGCAACTCGGTTAAATTAAACTGATTCAAAATTATTAGCATCAAAGAGCCTTTGGGTTAAAGATCCCCATCAGCGGCAGTATGTGATTGATTTCAGGTTCCCACTACTGCCATTTTGTATAATAGCCTTATGTAAGTATTGCTTTGTCTGGTGACTGTTTTGCTCACAAATGGATATGCCTGCCAGGTTTTGCAAGCTGTCAAGCTGACTGGATCTGCATAGGATTTGGTCATCATGTCTAGTATTTGGAGCCCAAAGAACAACCTTGGGCTCAGACTGCTTGTCTGATACTGTGTGTAGGCGTTGGTGTGCATATGAAGTTAAAGTGACTTGACAGTGTCTTCCTGATCCTATCCTTGCACATGTCACTCTGAATCTCAGCATCAGCTGTTGGGGCTCTGGCTTCTAGTTGAATCTCTTCAAGTACACCATGACAAGAAAATAAGGAATTCAGACTCAGCAAAAGAATAACCAAGCTACATTGGCTTTACCTTCAAGCATTTCAGATCTTTGTAAATGATGACGGTCTTGATGACAATTTCTTTAGTCTGAGTTCAGCTTTTCTCTGAATTGGTGTCTTACGGGTATTGCAGATTTGAGCTTTCCTGTATGTCTTGTGAACTGCACTTCCAGTTTGATGCAGTCTTCTCCCAACCACTCTGACAATTCCCATGTGTTGTTTAAGTTCAAATAATTTCAATCTTTACCATGGAAAATATATTTAAACCCCTTTCCTAGCCTATAGGTCACACCAAAACTTCCCTCTCTCCTTAACAGCAAGAAAAAGGTTCATATTGAAAGCCCTTAAAACCCATCTCTGTTTTCATTGAATGTTTTCCACCGTAGACTATGAGAATGTGTCTGATCAGCTTGAAGGCCAGCTACTTCTTCCATGTGTTTAATTTGTACCTGCACACATTACTTGTGCTGTCCCCAGTGTTTTGGGAAAAGCTCCTTAAACATCTGCAAATGCACATCCTTAACTGCCTTAAGATCTGTAATTAAAGCCCTCCTTTGCAGTGAAGCCTGCAGTCACTGTGAGAATGGCCAGAGGCGAGCGTTGGACACTGCCCCTTCTGATTGCCTCTTCTTTCACTCATGGAATCTGCTCTCCCTGGGGCAAAGGCTGTCTTTCATTCTGATCTGTATATATTCAGTGCCTGTCTGTGCATGGTCCCTTCCATGCATGGTATATGTGTAACACAAACTGAAGGTGAAACTGTATTAAACATTGGTTAGTGTCATTTGTATGATTATCCAAGATTTGGGAGTTTCCCACTGCTGCCTGCAGTTGTGCACTTGGTAAAAGTAACCCAGCCAACTCTGGCAGTGCAGTGGAGGAATCGGACCCTGTTAGAAAATTTCAGAAGAACCTTGAGGCTTGTTGCCTGTATCAGCTGCATGCCAAATATACTTGCTATAGTGGTGCTCAGTGGAAAAACCTCTCTCGGAGACAGAAAACTTCATTATCAGACCCCACACTGGGCTGTGCAGTGTGTGACTGCTCTATCCCTAGGGTAGACTTGGTGTCTTGCATTTGGGTTCTGGGCACTGGAAGAGTGACCTGGCACCATTGTTTCTATTATCAATCCTTTGGGATTACATTGCTTGAGCCTTCTAGTGGTGGACTGCTAGCAATCCCTAAAATACCTTTAACAATAGGTAAAAGTAAAGAGTGCAGGTACTCCTTTGACTGAGATTAACACATTACTTGTAATGATCAGAGAATACAAAGCATAAAAATAAAAACTAATTATGCCTACCTGTACTTTAGTCCTCTTTTTGAAGGCTCTCTTTAATGTGGCTAAGCTATGAGGTCATAAGTATCCAGGCCTTTGAGAGGAGCCTTGCCCTGTGTATTCCTTTTCTAGAAAAGTTGGTTGGAAGGGACCTCTAGAGGTCATCTTGTCCAGCATCCCACTTGAAGGAAGACAGTTGCCAACACTAGATCAAACCAGCCATTGCTTTGTCTTGCTGGATCTTGAAACCCGCAAGGATGGAAATTATGCATCCTCTTGGGACAGCCTGATCTATTTAGAAGAAAACTTTTTTTCTTAATGTCTGTCCTGAGCCTCCTAAGCTGCAATTTGTGGCCGTGGTCCTTGTCGTATCTCCCACTGCTGAGAAGAATTCTGATATCTGGCATTTTTATTTCCTTTTCACAGAGCAATTCCAGTCACTTGTGTTGTTCAAGTCCTTTACTGAACTTTCTAAGGCATGTGCCAAAAAAAGCATTTACAATACAGATGCCTTAGCTTCAATTTCCAGTGTAGCTCTGGTATTTTATCAACACTAAACATGATGCGCAGACTTGACAGAAAATGGTTTGAGCAGACAGTACCTAGAGTGCAGTGCCCTTTTCCATACATGCAGCCTTATGTGAGGACCCTGTTACAGCATGATACTTTCTCCTTCCTGCCTGCCTTCATAGAGACCAGAGCCAAGCAGAAATCTTCCACACACTCTGTGTCCCCTAAACCTTTTGTTTGAAGGACCTTTACCTCAGTCTTTTGACAGACCCTGTCGGGATTCTTGGTGTGTTTGGTTTGTCTGATGGTACTGCTGGGTTGGTGCCTTTTGGGGGGGAATTTGTCCCTGAGAATGGCCCGGGGCTGGCAGACCTGGGACTGCTATGGTGTGCCATGGCCCTAACCAGCCCCCTGCTCCCAGCTCATCAGCAAGTGACATGGAAGCCTGAGAGCTCCACAGACCTGAGCTTCAGCAGCATTGATGAAAAGCCACCGCTCAGCTCTTGGCAGCAAAGAAGTGGGACTGTTGGCTGTGCACAGCTCAGGAACATTCTGCCTGCTGGGAAGCTCCCGTGATATTTCAGTGATCATCTGACCAGTATTGCCACTGCTACTAGCAGGCTATAGATTTCCCACAAACTGGAATGCAATCACAAAAGGTTTTTTGTTTCATTTGGATTGTATCAAAAACTAACCCCAAACAAGAACTGCAAACTGCACATCACTTCCTGGCCCTCCCTCTTTGCTGATGCCTCCCGCACACACAGTAATTATCAAGTGTGTTTCTTGTCGAAATCCACCAGGTGGCACGGTTCATCTGGTTTGCCGAAATAAGGAACGGGCTGAGGTCGCCAAAGGAGAAATAGTGACAGAAACGGGCAATCAGGTGAGTTGTATTTTAGTCTTTTGTTTACTCTTAGAAAGATTGTTAATACTAAAACCCTCAGAGGCCTTGAGATATTCTGTTTTGTCATTTTGCTGTTCCGTTTTTTCATACGGACATGGAAACATCTAGTAGTTTATCATCCACGTGGTTTGAAGTGATTTAATTTCACTAGGTGATGTTTTCTGTGACTAGTAACATCACCAACAGCATCCTGTTTTATTTAATGTTTGTTGTCGATATGTTTTGTGATGTCCTACTTAACTATTCCTAACTATGTGGCTGAGGCTTTTAAAAGTTAACGCATTGCAACACTCTTGCAACAATGTTTATGAGTTTACAGCATTGGAGTTGAAGGTTTTATGTGTCTGAATAACATGCTCTTAATTTGCTAAGGTTGGCTGCTCTGTGAAGTCCTGTGTGTGGTCCTAGTTCCATGCTCCACAGACTTTTCCATCTCCTTTTCTTATAATATCTCTTCCTTACCTCCTCCCTTCTGTTACAGATTCTTTTTGCTTCTGCATATATCACTCTACAGTATACCCCTGTAGCTGCACTGTTGCTTTTGCTAATTATTCAGGAGGGTGTGCTTGTGGAGAAGTACAGTCGTTGTCTTTCTATCTTGGTGTACTGGTTTTGGCTGGGATAGAGTTACTTTTCTTCATAGCAGCTCCTATGGTGCTATGTTTTGCATATGTGACCAAAACAGTGTTGACAACATATGTTTTAGTTATTGCTGAACAGTGCTTACACAGCATCAAGGCCTTTTCTGGTTCTCATGCTGCCCCGCCAGCGAGCAGGCTGAGGGTGCGCAAGAAGTTGGGAGGGGACACACTGGGACAGCTGACCCCAGCTGACCAAAGGCATATCCGATACCATATGATGTCCAGCATATAAAGCTGGGGGAAGAAGGAGAAAGGGGGGATATTCACAATTATGGTGTTTGGCTTTCCAAATCACCATTGCACGTGATGGAGCCCTGCTTTCCTGGGGATCGCTAAACACCTGCCTGACAATGGGAAGTAGTGAATGAATTCCTTATTTTGCTTTGTTTGCATACAGAGCTCTGCTTCGCTTATTAAACTGTTTTTATCTCAACCCACAAGTTTTGTCTGTTTTACCCTTCTGATGCTCTTCCCCATCCCACTGGGAGGGGAGGGAGTGAGCGAGTGGTTGTGCGGGGCTTAACTGCCTACTGGGGTTAACCCACAACACTTAGATGGAGAGCTATCTTCATTTTAAATAGCGACTTGGCTCTTGAACGCAGTATTTTGATTCTAGTAATCGTTTTTAATGTGGATCAAAAATTCTGAAGACTTTTTATGGTTAGAGATACCATATTGGCTAAACTTCTGCTCTTTGGTTTCAGCTCCCTCGTGTGATACAACCAGCATTACACTTCAGTTCTTTAATGGAGGTGAATTAGATCAGTCCTTATGTAGAAATAAAAACTTTCCAGCTGTCTAGAACTGTGTAATCCCATGGCTATAGTAAGACTGGTGATTATCTGTGTTACCTCCTTTTCTAACTGCAGTCAGACAGCCTGGGAAGAGGGGTGAGTTTGATGACCTCTGAAGGTTCCTTCGTGTTCTGTTTTCTGTCATTTGGTGAAACAAAACTTGAGGCAAATAATGTTCTTCCTCTAAAAGCAGCACTTTTTGGTGCATTCCCACTTTTTGGTAGGCTGCAAACCTGTATTTTCTCTAGTCATGAAAGAGTATGAGGGCACTGCAGAACATGTGTCCTGTCCCCAGGGTCACACACTTGTATAGAAAGCAACATTCAGTGAAGTGTTAGACGAGCTGTACAAGAAGCCCTGTGGGTCACGTGACTGCACTGGGAAGAGTCATTTTAATAAAGTGTCCACAAGAACATCCTTCTTTATAACTACTCATTCAGAAGCAATCCAGGGAGATAATAAAATGCTTTATCTGCAACTTGACAAGCTGTATCCAGACTTAACTTGCTCTTCCTGATCATCTGGACAGAGATCCTGTTGTAGTATACGTCAAAGATTTTTTTTTTTCCATCTTCCACAGCAACACATGCTGGAGTTCAGTGCTGAAATGGAGTTATTATTTGGCAGGCATCTGCACCTAGACCTGGGAACTGGGAAGTTCTCCTAATCTGTTAAAGTAGATGTAGTCACGGAGATTAGGTCTCATTTTGGAAATGACTTTGCTACCATCGAGGACTTTTATAGGGAACAGGCCTGTGGGTCCTTTTTCTGAGCCAATGTGACAGTCTTCAGCAGATAAGTGTTGATTTAGATCTTTTTCAGTCTCTGAAATCACTTGTAATATTGAACATCTGCCCAAAAAACTTCAGCTCTTCTGTTCCAGTAGATAATGCTAGTAGCTTTAAAAGTAGAAAGCTTTTAGAGAGAGATCCAGTTAGAAACAGTAGAGCAGTGTCAAGTCTTTGGTCAGAAATGGACATTACAATGAGAAAATTCTGACCTAACTTCAACTAAGGAGCTGAAATCCAATGGCTAGAGAGGAAAAGTCATGTGTCTTTTTTATCTGCAGGAAAGCAGAATTACAGGCAGGGAATAATGCCCTGTAACTTTCTCAGCTTCTTCACTTACCTCATTTGCTTGTATAATGAGTATTTAAAGAAACAACTTGGAAAGAGGGGAGGTCCTTTAATGATTACTTGTTGTTTTGCATGAGAACGCATCCTCTGCATAATTATTTTAGAACTGCCTTTTCCTGGGATACATCATAAGACACATCTGTGGTGTGTCTTTGAGACTAAGTGCTACCTAGGAGAAGAATAGGAGTTGACATGCCTTTTGTATGCTGATAAATGCCACTGTGCTTGTACTAGGTAGAACACAAATCTGCAAAAAGCAAGAGAATTGCCCATAACAAACAGTAAATGGCTTTTGGTGTTTTGGAGAGAGGAAATATTTCTAGCTTTAGTGATTTAGAAAATTATAACTTTGCTCTATGTCAAGCTTTTCCTTTTTTATTCCATTGCATCCACGTTCCTGGCCATAGTATTTCAAAACATGGCAAGACTGTTGTGACATGGGGTGGCTAACAAGGGCTTAGCAGTTAGCATGGAAGGGGGTGCAGAAGGCACCTGACACTCAGAGACAGCTGGAGTGGGCGCAATGATGCACCTGAAAGCGTGCTCTCCTGCCCTGGTTGGAGTGACTGCACCTGGCATGTGGGAGGCTGGCCCAGACAGAGCTCCAGAGGAATGATGTGGCAGATGTCGGGCTGCAAGGAGTGACTGGTACTATTCCCTGAGCCTGGTGCAGAGCATGATGGTCCTCATCTGTTGGGTTCTGCTGTGGTCAAGGTGGTGGGCTGCCAGGTGAAGCGACAGCAGGAGATGAGCAGGCTGCATAATGCTAGGGAACAGAAACAGGAGATTGACAGGGTCTTTGCAGAGTAGAAGAGCACAAACCCCACATTGCATGGAAGGAGGGACAACTAGAAGCTATGCTTGAATAAGTGGTGGATAGATGCCTAAGTTGGGGAGGAATGGAAGCTTGTGACTGCTGGCAACAGAAGGCAGGCTTGTTCTCTGCCTGCAGATGTGCATTTATAGGATAGGTATACTGCCATGGTAACAGATGAGGAAGAACAAGGTCTGTCAGGGGAGGTGTTGGAGACAGATGAGCCTGAACCGTTGTTGGCTCTGGGAGGAAGTGGTGGGTGATAATGGCTGGAGGCTTCCCCCTATGGGGGATGGAGGCACCCATCTGCAGTCTTGGCTGATGTCTTGAGAGGTTTGTCACTTGCTGGGAACTCAGATGTAGGGTATTGTGGAGAGTCTGCTGAGTCTCGTCTGGACCTCAGACTAGTACCTCTTGTTGCCCAACCACATGGGCACCCATGACATTGTGAGGGGTGACCTTGAGTTCATCAAGAGTGCTTACAGAGGGTGAGGGGCATGGGGGCTCAAGTAGTGCTCTCCTGAATCCTTCCAGTGAAAGGGAAGGGTTTGGGTAGGAGCATACGCACCCTGCAGGTCAACACCTGAATGTGCAGCTGGTGTCACTTTGGCCTTTGTCATTCCTGCTCAGCAACATTCATTTCTCAGAGAAGGTCAAAGAGGTCATAAAGGCCAAAGACAAAGTGGAGCAAGAATATCCTTGCCAACAGGTTTGCTAAGCTAGTGAGGAGGGCTTTAAACTGGTTTCATTGGGGGATAGCGACCAAACCCAGAAGAGGAGTGGAGTCATGGGGATGGTGAGTATGTGTCTAGGGGACAGCAAAATGGAGCAGGCACTCACAGTTTTCATGTGAAAGCAAAATGAGTGGGAGCCCATCTCAGACTCCTGTACATGAATACACAAACAGGAATCCATGCATGGTTGCAAAGCTGTGATCTCTCTGGTATTATGGAGATGTGGTTGGCATGACTAGAGTGCTGGAATGGATGTATACAGGTCCCTTTTAGAAGGGCAAGCTGGGAAGACAAGGAGGAGTTGTGCTCTATGCAAAGGAGTGGCTTGAATGTATGGAGCTTTGCTCTGAAATGGGTCACGAGCCAGTTGAGAGCTCATGGGTAAGGCACAGAGGTCAGATCAATGTGGATGATGTCATGGTGGGTGTCTGCTACAGACTGCCTGATGAAGTAGAGGAAGTAGGTGGAGCCTTTTTTAGAGGGCTAGAGAAGCCCCATGATCACAGGTCCTGGTATTGGTGGAGCACTTGAACCACCCTGATACCTGCTGGCAACATGGCAGGGCATAAACAATCCAGGAGACTTCTGGAGAGTGTCAAGGACAGTTTTTTTTGATATGAGTGTTGGACAAGCTAGCTAGAGGTGATTTCTGCTGGACCTGCTGTGAATAGCAGCCTTGAATATCTGCTTTGGTGGAAGTGGCCATGAGATTGTGGAATTAAGATCGAGACATGTGAGAAGGAAGAGTAGTAGAATTACAATCTTTGGTTTTAGGAAAGCAGATTTTCTTTTTTATGGACCTGGTTGACAGGATCCCATTGGAGACAGCCATGGAGAGCAAAAGGCCTTGGGAAAGCTGGTTGATCTTCAAAGAAAACCTTGATGTGGGGGGTGCTTCCTGTTAACTGGAAAAAGGCAAACCACTCATCTTCAAAAAAGGCAAGCATGATTTAGGGAACTACAGGCCGGTTAGCCTGAGGAAAACTATGGAGCAAATCCTCACAGAAGCTGTGAAAGACAGTAAGGTGATTGGGGAGAAAAAACATTGTGGGTTTATCAAGGACAAACCTGGCCTGACCATCCTGATCGCTGCCTTTAGTGAGATGACTCTGCCAACAGACAAGAGGAGAGCAGTGCATGCCACTTTCTTTAACTTTGCCAGGGCTTTTTACATGGTCTGCCATAATATCCTTGTAGCCAGTTTGGAGAGATGTGGTTTGAACTGGTGGATGACAAGCTGGGTGGAAAACTGTCTGGAACATTTGGCTCGGAAAGTATCAATCAACAGTACAAAGCTGATCTGTTAACCATCTTTTAGTGGCATCCCTCATGACTCAATACAGGGGCAAAAACTGTTTAATGTCTCTTTTAACAACTTGGACAACGGAGTGAAGTGCAATCTTTGTCAGATTGCAGATGATCTCAAATGGGGGTGGGGTGGGTAGCTGGAGAGCAGCGCTGCTATTCAGAGGGATTTAACAGGTGAGGAAATGAGCTGACATGAACCTCGTGAAGTTCACCAGGAGCGGATGCACAATCCTGCCCTGGGTTGGAGGAACCCCATGGAGCAGTACAAGCTGGGACTAGCTGGCTGGAAAGCAGCTTTGCAGAAAAGGACCTGGGGGTGACAAGTTGTCCCTGAGTGAGCAGTGTGCCCTGGGGCAAGGAAGGCCAACCACACCCCAGGCTGTATGAACACGAGTGTAGCCAGCAGGCTGAGGGAGGTGCATCTTCCTCTCTATTAAGCCTTTGTGAGACCACAGCAGGAGCCCTGTACCCAGTTTTGGGCTCCCCAGGACGAGGAAGTCATCGATGTCCTGGAGCAAGTCCAGCAGAGGGCTGCCAAGGTGACTAGGGAGATGGGACACACGATGTGCAAGAAGAGGCTGAGAGGGCCGGTTTTGCTCAGTGTTAAGAAAAGAAGGCTGAGATGGGTCTTACTGTAGTCTACAGCCATGTGATGGGAGGGTGCAGGGAAGGCAGTGCAATGCACCTCTTGGAGGTCTGCAGTGAAAGGATGAGGCGCAGCAGACAGATTGCAACAGGGAAAAATTCTGACTAGATGATAGGAATGTTTTTGGGTTTTTTTTTTTTTTCACCATGAGGGTGATCAAACACTGGAATAGGGTGCTCAGAGAGGCTGGGGAACCTCCATCTTTGGGGAGAGAACTTCCCTGGACAACCTGATCTCAGTTACCTGCATTGAGATGGGGATGAGACCAGGTGGACTCCAGAGGTCCCTTCCAACCTACATTATTCTCTAACACTGTGACCTTGAGCATTGCTTTGGAAAGTTGCTTTCAGCTAAAGAGGAAGCTGCTATATGAATTGTTTAAACAGAAGTTTTGCAAGCCTTGCAATATTTTTCTAGTTCTCTGCTATGCCTGACTGTCTGTCACGATTATTTATCTAAGTAGGGCTCTCTTTTAATAAATTCGGCATTAAAAAGCTATGGCTCAGAAGCAACTTGTCGTGGTTTAACCTCAGCCAGCAACTGAGCACCACACAGCCGCTCACTCACTCCCCCCTGCCCCAACCCCGGTGGGATGGGGGAGAGAATTGGAAGACTAAAAGTGAGAAAACTCGTGTGTTGAGATAAGAACAGTTTAATAATTGAAATGAAATAAAATAGTAATAATAACAATAATAATAAAAGAATATACAAAGCAAGTGATGCACGATATGATTGCTCACCACCCGCTGACCGATGCCCAGCCAGTCCCCGAGCAGCGGCCTCCCCAGCCGGCTTTTCCCCAGTTTATGTACTGAGCATGACGTCACATGGTATGGAATATCCCTTTGGCCAGTTTGGGTCAGCTGTCCTGGCTGTGCCCCCTCCCAGCTTCTTGTGCACCTCCAGCCTTCTCAGTCGGTAGAGCATGGGAAGCTGAAAAGTCCTTGTACCTAGCAACAACTAAAACATTGGTGTGTTATCAACATTGTTCTCATACTGAATCCAAAACACAGCCCTATACCAGCTAATAGGAAGAAAATTAACTCTATCCCAGCCGAAACCAGGACACAACTGAATCAAGTGACTAAGCATGTTTTAAGGACTAGAATTAGATCTCCCAGTTGTACATGTTAACCTAAGTGTTTTAGTTGTGTTCTGGAGAGAACTCTTTTTTATACTGCTTAAATACCTTTTCACCTAGACAGGCCTTAGCAGTGAACAGGGACTCTTCACTGTCCCTGTTGATTGTAACTTACTTTTTTTTTTCCTTTAGAATATCTTCTTGCATATTGTGGATATATCTAATCCCAAGGAAATCTGGAAGTTTGCTGAAAAATTCAAAAATGAACATAAATTAAATGTGTTGGTAAGTTTGCATACGTAAATCATGTGTCTGTCTTTGGAGTGCATAACCTATGAATTTGTCCAACAGGTAGTCTAGATTTCACAGTTTGGCCCACAATTCTCTGCTTAATTTTCTCTAAATGTTTTTGCAGTAGTCTCCATGGTCTGTTTGCTCTTGTCCATTCTCACTTCACATACACAGATATGATACAAAAAAGAGAGAAAAGCAGTAATTTTTAGCTGCATCTTTTGAGGTTCTTACTACACATTTTCTGTTTGACTTTCATTACTAATAACTTTGTCCCTCTTAAAGCTAGTCCTTCTTAAAGATTAAACTTTTATAGAACGTCTAGTTAGAGCAGTCTAAAACAGAGTCAGGGAAAGAGCAAACAGTTAAGCAGCATGGCTGGTAAGGGGCTCAGTACCTTATTTAGCAGTGAAAATTTGCTCTGGGGGCTGTACTAAAACTGAGGCACCTGGAGCAGTTGTTTTGGTGCTTACTAGATGAGGAAATTCTGATAGAAATGGGGAAATAGCTTTTGGGGAGTAGCAGTGAACGAGCAGAAAGGTATGCAGGGGCAGATCTCTTTTCGAGGTGGGAAAGAAAAGCTCGAGCTTCCTCTGGAGGGTAAGGCAGAGAAGGAAGCGTGCCTGAGAATATGCTAGCTGCACCCGGCTTGCAAGCTTCTGACTGTTCATGAGGTTTTACCTTACAGTGCATCCATGCTGTGTAGTGCAGCGCTGTTTTAGCAATGTGTGAGTCGGGTGGGGTATCTGTGCAGGATTGCCAGGCAGAGAGAAAAGCTGGGGTCCCTACAACCAGGGAACAAAGTCAGTATGAAGCACCTCTGCTGGTTACTTCTGCTCTTCTCAGGGCTAACTAGGATGCAGCAATCTGCTGACCTGGCTAGTTTGGAGCAATTCTTTTAATTTGCTGAGGGTGGTACTTCCTGCGGGCCATTCTACCACATGTTGCACAGCTTCCCATAGTGAATTTTTCCCTAATGGAGAATACATCACCACATAGCATGGATGATGTGGGGTCAGTGTGGTCTCTCAGATGAGACTAACAAACTACGCTGCATATTTATGTTCTAATATCTGCTCTACAACTTGCATATTACTTTCTGTGAGAAAAGAGTTTAAAAACATGGAGTGAGGTACTAAGAGGACTGTCGGCTCTTAGTGTGTATTACACATATATATGTGGTGAGACATTTCTCTGAAGATCCTTTCTTTTGTGAAAAACCTTTATGATCAGCGGCAGAGTAGTGTGACTTGGAATCGCGTGGTTTATTGAAACAGTTTGTAGCTTTGTGTTGCAGTGTCAGAAAACAGCAAACTAACATGGACTGCTTGTATGTGTGGTTTTGTTTGTAGACATTTGTGTAGATTATTTTTGTTTACAGGAGTTGTCTTACAGGTCAACAATGCAGGATGTATGGTGAATAACAGAGAATTAACTGAAGATGGACTTGAAAAAAACTTTGCAACAAACACTTTGGGTGAGTATTGAAGGCTTAGTTCTGAAATATACTTATTTTGGTTACAGAAGTGTGTTTTTTACAGCTGGGTTCATGAGGTATGTATTCCTGCTCAAAGAGGGATCATACCATTGCTATGCCAGGGAAGGAGCAGGAAAGGAAAAGAAGAAGTATTACAGCTTGTTTGGAGTGTAATTTTTTTAATTTCTCCATTTTCCAGTTGTTCTCATATCAGCGCCTTTATCATAGCAGCAGTGGACAAATGCAGATAAGATTTAATTAAATTGATTCTGAAATTTGCTAGGAAACTTTGTTCCAAGCAGTGCTGCTAATGATACTCTCTTTGTAATAAGTGTGCTCCTGTGGCTTGGATAGAGGTTGGAGCACGTTCAGATATTTAAAAAGACATTCAAATGTTCCAGTAGGCTTGAACAGCGTTGTCTGATGTAACAGAGGCACTGTGTAGGAAGACTGTGCCTTATGTAGTGCCCTGGACACTCTCTAACAGATGCAACATCTAGTCAAGTGATTGAGCGGTACTGGCTAAGTCTCAGTCACTCCGCATATAAGGGGTGCATCCCATGAACCGTGTCGTGGAGGTATAAGAAGGACAAATTAAGGGAAGCAAATAAAGAGGGAAAGGGGAGATGTGGATGAGCAGGGAAGACAGTGAGCAAAGTGGAAGGTTCCCATGTAACAGCCATGGAAAAGATGTGAGCAAACAGCCAGCCAGTCAGCAGAGAGAAGAGCTGTCTGCCGCCACTGATATCTGTAGGGCTGAAAGCTGCACCTCTTGCAATGGGAGATGTGTGCTTGCATCAACAAACAGACCCGACACTCTCTTTTCCCTCTGCCTCCCTGCAGGGTAGGTGGCTTTCCCAAGGGACTGTCTTTAATATATTCAGAAGTGATACGTTAGGGAGGAGCTGTGGTGCTTTGTTTCTGTGTTTTCCTCCTGTTTATCAATATCTGGGATGAGGAAAGGGGAAGCTTAGGCTATAAAGATCAGGCATTTTTAGAACTAATGTAGGCTGGAAACCATTGTTGAGTTTTATTCTTAACCTTTTTCCTGTGTTGCTTCCTTAATTCCTATTTACTTCTGAAAACTAACACTTTAGGTATAAATGTCTTGTGCTTAGCTGATGTGGTGCATACAGCTTGTTTTTTCTGCAAGTCTGACTGCATTAAACTGACAATTAATTCAAGTATAAAGGCACAGATTATTAATCTTCTGCTAGCATTCTTCTGTTTCTCGTGGTCAAAATTCAAAATGAATTTTATTTTGCCATCAAATTTCCCCTGGCTGCAGAAGTACAAGAACTTCTATCTTGAGAAATTTATTCACCTTAAATTAGTTTAAACCTCTTGTGGTCTTTCAAACAAAAATCCAGCAATGCGCAAAGGTGCAGTTCTTCCAGAGAGAAGCAGAGTGAAACAAATACAACAGTCTGAACATGAAAGCATGTTTTGGTTTAGTTTTAAACATTGAGGAAATTAATTGCTGAGGAACTGTACTAGCGCATTACTTGAGTTAGATTTTTATCACACAAGTAGAAGCAGCAAGTTCTGCTCTCCCAGCTGTAAATCAGCCTCATTAGAGATATACAGCTGCACAGAGGAAGCTGAATTACAATTGTAGCAAATTAGGAAAATACCCATATTATCTTTTATGAATGTTACATATAGATCTTGTTTATTTATCTGTGTATCACTTGCTGCATGACTGTATAAGAAGGTCAAGGAGGTGATTGCACATTTGAGCAGATAACGTAAAACAGGTAAGTCGTCCTCTGTTGACCAACTTCTGCAGAGTTCAAACAAGACTGGGTTGTTTGCTTAGACTGGTTCTTTCTAGGCAACAATAAGGATTAAATTTCGAAGCTTTTAGAACAGAGTGGGACTTGGTTGAGCTGGAAGAGGCTGTCTGTGCAAGAGAAAGCTTCTGTGCTTGCAAGTCAGACACACGTGAAGGACCAATGCTATCAACAGTGCAGGCTTTTTTTCTTCAAAATCAGAGGTGGGGTAATAAATCGTATCTGCTGGAGTCATAGCAGGAGAAGGCTGTATGGAGAAATGCATGTCAGAGTAGATGCTGTGTTAAGTCATTTCCCTAAGCACTAGGTACCTTTGGGTGTGCTTTACTTTGGAGAAGTTATTTCTTTATCAGTAACTACCTGTGGTTATAGGTTCCCAGAGAAAAAACTTGGCTAAATTACATATGGCTGGTATATAGGTTGGCTGTAAACTAGAATGTGGTCTGAGAGAACAAGCTAAATTCCCTTCTCTGCCTCTTTCCCCAGAAAAGCTAAAGCCTGAATGCTGACACGGGCTCAAGGCCCCTCTTTTGAAAATCTGCAGTTGTCCCCCTCGTCAGCAGCATGGAAACAATAACTCATGACTGCCTGACTTCTGTAGAAATAAGGTGGAATAATATTAATATTTTTTTCAGATCTTGACATGCAGGATGTTCCTTCCATCTTTCTTTGACTGTTTCTACCCTGGATCTTAGCTTTGGTCTAGTAAAGGAGTGTGTAGGTTGTAACTGTCTAAGAACGCAAGACTCTAAACTGTAACATGCTTTAAATGCAGAGCAGAGTTTTTGAATTCGGTATCTGAGATCTGATTAACATTTACATAAGCTGTAGAATTGCTCATTTAGGTGTCTAAAATGCTGTGGAGCTTTTAAATCCAGGCTAGGAATATTTTCCTCTTCACTGACTTGTTAGTCTGTTTTCAGATATTTTGTATAATGGATGTTAGAGTTCAGTTCTCATTGATCATCTGACTTGTGGAACATACTTTATATCCTGGTTAATGGTTGGACTCTATCTTAAGGGTCTTTTCCAACCTAAATGATTCTATGATTCTATTCTATGATCTCTTCTTGGACATATATGGGGCAAAAATGAATGCATAAGTCCTCTGGTAGATGTGAATATGTACAAAAATAATACTGGTTAGGATAGAAAGTAAAACTCCCTTCATGTGAAGCACCACTGACTGGCTAATTGAGGACAGCTCACTGAAATAGGAGGTGTAGAGTCCTCTCTGGTGGTGTTAGAATATACAGGTGGGTGAAGGTCATGAAAATGCAAAATGCAGGTTGATAGTTCAGGCTTTGTATGGTTTGTTTAGTATTCAAGTTCAAACTGTAAACTGCTTTGGGCAGGCAGTGGCAGCTGTATCTGTGCTGGTGCCTGGCATCTTTAAAATGGGGCTCAGGCACAAATGCCACATGGCTTGTTGTGGTTCTGTTGTTGCTGTCACATGAAGTACCTTACCTTTTTTCCTGGCTAGATCCCCAAGGATTATTGCTCTGATTTCTGGAGCTCAGTGAAGGTGTAGAGAGCAGAATAGCTGTGGAGCACTTAGACTGTAATGTGGGAGCGCTAGCCAGACATGAGTCTGAAATGGCACATTGCTGATTGAATCACACCTTCGGTATGAAATTGAGCGACTGGCTTGTGGTAATGTGGGCTGATTTCCTGGGGAGCTGCCGATCCTGATGGGCAGATTTTATTTGTGTATCCTTTAGTTTGTGTGTTGTTGCCCTTAACGTTTCCTCCTGTGGGCTGGCCTTCTACTCAGGGTTGTATCCAGGAGCTGGGCAGCAACAAGCAATCATTTCTTCTGATGAGACTTGCAGACTTCTGAGTCAACACTTCTTGTCTTTTTTATTTTATTTTACTTGTTTTAGTAAAACTCCCAACAAAGACTATTCAAACTGACAGTATTCAGCCAGTTTGGAAAAAAACCTGTCAGCATTGGTAGGCAAGTGAAGGCAACAGAAGCGTGTTCTTATTGAAGCACTAGACATTTAGCTGAAACAATCCTTGTCCCTCTATTTTATAGCCTGCCTTACTTTACTTTTACTCGACATATCTTCTTGCTTGACATGGAAAAATGGCATATATGTTACACTTTTATTGCTACTTACCAGCCAAGGGGATGCTAAAACACACTCAGAGATAAATAAGTGATACTCCCAGTATGCATCTTTTCTTCAGTCTAATGTGCTCTCATGTTTTAATAATATAGCCATATACATTTACTCTCTGTGCAAGAAGGGGTGGGGCCAGAGGAAATAAGATGCTTTTCTACCACAGTAGCAGTACAGCCCATCTGTGGCAAATTGCCTAACCTGTATGGATATTTGTCAGTCTCTTCCCTACGCATAAACCATATCTAACTGGTGTTTCACAAAAGCCAGTGTTGCCTGGTGGACTGTGTTCTGAACTACTTGGAAGTCAGGCAACTTGGATACCAGCTGTCAGTCTGCCATAAGATCAGTGCCTGATCTTTGGCAAGACAACCTTACCTGTGAAAAGGAGACTACGATACCGATTCTCTTTCTAAAGAGCTTTGAGACGTATGGATGAGAAGTGCTGTGTGAAAGGATAAGGTTGACTATAATTGCAAATCAACTAGCTATACTGAAGCCTAGGTTCCCAGGACAAAGAGGAACCCTTATTGAGCTGAGCTTTGTAATTCAAGGGAAATGTAAACCTTTGTTTTGTCTTTCATGTTCATTAGCTCTTCCCAAACACTCAGTTATTGCTAGTGTGGTGGAATTGGCCCTCAGAGATAGCACACTAAAATCTTCATTCCTGATCTTGTACTCAGTAAACAGATTCAGGCATCTCTCTTACTTGGAACTGCATAAATTGAAGGCTTGAAAAGATAACCAGGGCAAGGAAGAATGTCAGTTTGTTCTTTTTTTTTTTTTTTTTTTTAAGACTTGGACATAAGAAAAGTAAGCCAATTTAACTGATTTTTACCAGATGAATGAGCCATTGAAATCTGTACAATAAAAGTGTTTGGTTTTTTTGTTCCCACTTTTTTCACAGTTGAAATAACACTGTTCCTAATAATACTGCAAAGCTCAGGCAGATGGAAAACTTCACTGAGTGTGGTGCTGGCTGCCTGCCCTTATCTGAATGTTAGCAGATTAAAAACCTCACCAACAGTTTACCACTAATTGCCAGATAGAACATCAAGCAAAAACTAATCTAGAATCCACC